GAAGAAATGCTTCCGCGGAGCTTCCTTCCGCGCGCATAGGAAAACCTCATCTTCGGACTTTGATTTGCTGAGTCACTTGTATTTGATCTACGGTATAAAAAACCGCTGCTCATTGGTGACAGTCTTGTACCCGGAAAACAAGAAGCTCGGGACGTGCGACGTCCTTACAATATGAAGCAAATCCAATGAGGGATCCTTCTAAGAGAATATGAGGAATCCATAATCAAAGAATTCTCCTGCAAATTCTCGTAACCAATTTGCACTTAATAAGGGCTTTAATTAGGGAAGAATTTTGGAAACCTGCGGAACATTATGAGTATTATTCACCTGAATTGATGAAAAGAAAATACTGAAGTATTGAGATGATTTCGAGTCTTGCACAGAACATTAGAGCTGTTGGATACTGAGGCTTGGGAAGCGGGGCATACCAACTATTAACTACCCTTCACCCACATTGTAGCGAATCAGACTGCCTTGGAATAGTTTTTATATCGTAAGGAATGTCAAAGTGGCTCACAAGCCCTACTCAAAGAAATGGGCGCACGAACCCTGCACAGCACTCGCCTGGCACTCGCACTTGCCTTTTGGCTCTAAGCTCAAGCTACCTCTCCCTTGAGTCGGCGACAGCCATGGATGAAAATCTCACTTGCGAAGTCATGGGCCCTCGGTACTCACATGGATACCATTCCTGAGATTTTCAAGCATGGTGTCTTCTTCCTCTGCAGGATTCTCTTCGGAAGTCCAGGGAAGGTTCTCCTTTTTGGCAAACGCCTCAAGTTTGCACAGAAAAGCTTCGGACATCTCCTGGGCGCACTTCTCGTGTTAATGCCGCTTGTTCAACTTGCGACCAGCCACGAACTCGGGGTCGAAGATGAGCCGCCACCATTGACGCTGAGAAAGTAGCTGCCAGATCGTCTTCCTCGATTTGCAAGGCCTTGGTGAGCGCGTCCGCGATCATTTCGGCGCCGGCTACCCAGTGAAGCTGGGTGTTCACTTGAAGAGCTTGCAGAACCACAACAATCAGTTCATAGCCTGCACGGGAGTTGCGAGGTCCATGCAAAGTACTCGTATTCTTGACCATTAATAATCCATCGCGAGGACTCCTCGGGTGCGCAGCTTCACCTGGTCGTCCTGACGACCGCGTGCCGGGGTGACCCCGTGTATTTCCATCCAAAGGCTTCGGATCAAGTAGATGACGTCCTCGCCGATGGTGATGGCTTGGATCTCGGATCCATTGGATCCAAGGCTCTCGCGAGGTGCTTTCGTGGAGCGCCAGGTCACCACGTTCATCCGAACCTTGTCACTGTTCTCCATCTCCCGCGGAGCCAAGCAAGCCACCAGCCCAACAGTACTCCCTTTTCGGGGACGGTTGTTTTGAGCCGCATCGGCCCACACCACTGTCGTGAACTCGGTCCAGTCCAGGCCGAAGGGGTGGAACACCAAGACCTGGTCAGCGGTCCGCTGAGCTTCTCGCACAAGCTTGTTCGCCCGGTTCAGGGCGTCGACGGTCGCCACGGGAACCTCGCAAAGAAGAAGTCCAATCTCCGGCGTCAGCGGAGACGTCTGGTTAGCACGCCAGGCCAGGGCACCAAGAATCCCTCGGAGGTCTGTCACCTCCGGAGGTGACATCAGCGGATTCCAGCATCCACTTGTTGTTGGCGATGACCGACAGGAGAAGCATCTTGCCAAGCCGACTGAGTGTCGGACAGCAAGTTTTGGCGCTTGGTACCCTAAGACTACCAAGCGAGCTTTCGATTGGCCATCACTCTTCACCGTGAGCACCCAGCGCGTGCCCATCACCTTGGACTCGTCCACGGTCCAGCGCTCATCCTTCGTCAAGGAGCGGACGGCTTCGTTCCGCATGACGTTGTCTATCTTGAGAGCTTTTCGCCAACCAGATGTTGGCCCTCTTTGGGATGTCAGTTCCCGCCATCCATCTCTATCTCGAAGGAGTAGCCGAAGAGAGAGTCCTGAAGAGGAGGCGGCACAGGAGGTCGCCGTCTCCGTCGCTTGGATTGAGGCTCTCCGCAGCTCGGATCCACTGGAACTGATCTCCTCCGTCTCATCTCCGGATTCTTCCAGCGGAAGCTGGGTGTCCGTCCTCTTGTCGTAGGCAAAGCTGTTCCCACCAGCATCACGTGACCACCAGGAAGACAACAGTCAGGCTGATTGGCATTGCACTCCGAGGTGTTCCTGGAACCAGCTTTCCGGGAACTTCATCGCCAGGCGTGGCTGGAACAAGTCCTGCGCTTGGAAGGGCCACCTGTGGCGAAGCTTCTGTGATTGCTCCAGCTTGGGAACCTCGGGCGCCAGAGTCATGTGGAACTTCTGCTCTAGTTTCAGTTGGAGGTCCAGGAGGAGCACTTTCACGTGGTTCTGGCGGCTTTCTATAGATCGAGATCTGTCTGCTGGTGTAGCTCTTGACTTTCGCTGTCGAGTGCGGCCACGGTCCAGGTCGAAAGGTGCACTTTCAGGAGGTTCTTCACGTGGTTCTGGAGGCTTGAGCTCGTCTTCTTTGGCTTGTCCTTGAGGGTGAGTGGCAGAGATCTTGAGGCACGTCTCGCCAGTCCACCGGTCAATCAAGCAGCGTCCAGGATTGTCGTCCTTCCGGTAGTCGTCCAGGATGGTCTGCTCGTTGCCGGCTGCCTTGATGACGGTGCGCCGCTCGCCATCCAGTTGGTCTTCCAGAACAGGGAGGCCACGCGCTTTGGTTGGGACAAAGAGAGCAAGACGAGGTTTGTTGTGAATTCGCACCAGCCACCTTCCACGAACTTCCCACATATCATCATCACTTCTCCGTGGCCTCGCGGGAACTCTAACTTCTCCTTGAGTCAGATCTTCTCGAGCTGCTTCAGGAGGATTCGAGCCAGTGAGGTCCTCGTACTGCTTCCCGCAGAAGCCTCGCAGCAGAGTTTCCATTGTAACTGCAAGTCGATAGACCGCGGCACCACCAGCTATCGCCACCAGCTCCTCATTGCGACTGCATAGCCGAACTTGGTTGGCCTTCGCCCTCAGGAGTGTGGCGCCAGAAGCGAGCCAGTACGTGGAGGCTTCGACATGTAGAACACGAACAGGTCCGGCCCACACGCCCTTGCCGAAGTTCTTCCGCTCACGCCAAACCATCACGAGGTCGCCGGCCTTGTAGCTGGGAGACGCTCGGCCCACGGCGTTGGACAAATGGTCGGCTGCCTGCGCTCGTCGGTAAGCGACTGCCGCCTTCTCGCGGTGAACCAGAAAACGTTGAAAGGCCGTGCGTGGTTCAACTCCAGAAGACCTCTTCAGGGTCTTCAGGCTTGTCCATTCCCCGAGACCATTGAAATGGGGAGAAGCCAGTCAACGGTTGAATCGTCGAGTTGTGGGCCACATTGCGGGCGTGCACTGCAAGGCGAAAGAGGTCGCCGATCTCGAGTCCCAAAGCTTCTCGACGAAGACGATCTACCGTGGATTTGAGGCGGCCGATCAGGTTTTAATTTTCCTCCGGGCCCATCACCCACAATGCGCTTCTGGCGGCGCAGTGATGTGTCCTACCCCGCTGCGTCGAAGGAAGTGGGACATTTCCTCGGACGTGAAGTACAAAGCTGAGTCACTTGCAAACCAGTGCGGCCTTGGGTAGTAAGCTAGCCAATCCCGAATGAAGTGCTTGATGATGCACTGCGTATTGGGCTCCCAATGATCTTGGTACTCCTGCATAATGCTCACTGAACAGGCGCGGGTCGCACGATCAAGCCACACAGCTCCCTTGACCTTCATGACTTCGCCATCATCCTTCACGAAGGGGTACTCAAAGACGTCAGTGCCCAGGATCTCCCACATCGATGTTCGGAGGTTCTCGAAGGGAAGCAGGACTCGGGGCACTCATGCCAGAACTTGGGCCCACGAAGGCGCACCCCTCTGTGCTAGGAGCTTGGCTAAGGACGCCATGCTGGCGTGTCCACACGCCCGATGAACCCTCATCATCATTTGCTTGATGGCCTCCAGCTTCTTGCCAGTGGGGGCCTGTTCCGGAAAAGATTGTCGGCTCAGGGCGAGAAGCTGTTTTTCACGAGGTTGCTCGGGAGGAGGATGCCGATGAAACCACTCATGGTCAAGAAGCTTGTCCTCAACGTCTTGCATCAAGGTCTGTCGGCCTTGCTTGTGTCTAAGAGTGGCAGAGATGCCTAAGGCTGCCTTCTTGGCCATCCGAGGTGGATAAGGAATCGGTCGTCGGCATTCGTGGTCCAGAGGCAAATCACGATGATGAACATGTTGAGCGTGTCCGGGGCACTTGTGTTGAAGAAGTTGCTTCAGGACCTCGCTACTGGTCAAGATCCTCCATTTCTTCTCCACTGGAACTCCTTGCGCTTGCAGGCCACAGGCACAGCCATCGACCAGGAAGTCATAGACCGCAATGCCCTTCTCGTTCATGATGTGCCAGAAGTGCTGGAAGGGACCTGTCTCGAAGACTCGCCTAGCGTCTCTGGCCACTCCCAGACACAGTCGTGCCCTTGGAACACCACTTCCAAAGCAACCTCCACCAGGTCATGCAGCCCGAAGGATCCAGCAGGAAAGGTCAGCCACATGAACTTTGGCTTGCACTCCTTGACTTTGGACATGAGAGCCTTCCTCCCAGTCCGGCCGCGGATGTCGCCGCTATTCTCGAGGCGTCGGTGTCATAGCTGGCGAAGGCATGCTCTGGTCCACCAGGATCGCCTTCTTATACGCCGAGACCTCCACGAAGTCCACGTTTTGAACCACGGAGTTAACCATGGCGGAGACGCCGACCTGCAGGTTCAGGAAGATAGCTGCGGCACTCGCAGCCAGAACTCTTTTCATGTTCGAATTCAGAGGCTTGGTCTTCACCACGAGAAGGCACTCGGCCGACTCATCATGAGAGGGCTCGCCCAACGCGGCGGCACTTGCATTCGTGCCCTCCATTTTGTCTTTGCCACCTGCTCGGAGACGGGCACGAAGGTCTCCAAGTCTAGAGCGCAAAGACTCCAGGCCATTTACGGCGCTTCCTCCTCTTCGTCCTGGTCCGTCTTGAACCACACTCGCGCATCTCTGCATCCCCGTCCACATTGAAGTGAAGGGCCATCTCCTCCACAATGGCGGACTTCTGTGCCTCCAGTCGGCTCTGGAGTCGCTCGATCTCTTCCAGTCCGGTCGTGAGCTTGTGCGAGGTCTGGTCCGTCACCGTCGCGGTGTCCTCCGCGATCTTCTTCTCCTTGCCGCTCATCTTTGGATTTCGCCTTCGCTGCCGTGGGGTGCATGCGGGCCTTCGCAGTGGCTCCTGGAATGGTCGGTGGAGCCGTCAAAGGTGCCGGGCCATGAGGGATGGTTGTCGGAGATGTCGTCGGCGATGCCTTCGGTAGCTTCCGGCCGGCTGTTGGGAGCGTCCCACGATCTCCATGCACTTGCCGTTGAAGATGTCCTCCGTCATGTCCTTCGCATCGTGGGTCATCCGCAGTTCGCCAATTGCCTGAAGAAGAAGTCCTCGAGGAGGACCAGATTGGCGGTACGCCCCCGGCTTCTTCCCGTTCGTGATGGTCACGTAGCTCAGGCGCAAAGCGCATTGTGCGCAGGTCGTCCAGTGGCCATGTTGATTGGCCCGAGTGGCCGACTCCTTGTGCTCGCCACCACATGGCCATCCGTCGTGACGGGGATCGTCTGCCAAGCTCGGGGCAAGAGGCCAGGACGCCATCGTAGGTCGAAGAGGATTGAAGTCGATGAAGCTTGAGCCTCAACTGCTGCACGCGGTCACGCAAGTTCTGAAACATGTCCACGTGGGTGGCTTCGACTGCGTGCACTGACTCCTCACGCAGGCTCTCGGGAACTTTAACACGCGCACGTGTAGGCAACTGTCATGTTGGGAGCAAGGGCAATGAACTGAGTCTGGCACGCAACACCGAACAGGACATGTCTCATCACACCCTCCTGACGAAAAAGCGTACCTTTGCCGGGTTTCGGAGAGCGCAGCTCCCAAAGAATCTACTGCCAGGTGAGGCGCAGGTGAAGAATTGGAAATCTCTGTATAAACAAGCCGGGAACCATCATGGCTCTTCTGGCTGCTTCCGTGTCTTGCGGAAGCTCAAGTCCAAAATGCCTTTCGGACCATTTCCCGAAGGGTCCCCATCTTCGTGCATGGGCTGTCCAGGTCAATGGCCAGGTGTCCGTTCGAAGTGGCCACCATCGGGACAGAGCCAGGCGAGCGATCGGGGAGGAGAAAATTCAAGAACATGTCGGAGTATAGCTCAGGTTTGCCTTAAGCATATGCAGAACTCGACCTCCGAGAAGAAGAGGTGTCTCTTGTGAGCTTGGGGTTGTGCTTGCCACGTCTCGTCGTCGAGCAAGTAGAAGGCCAGGTTGCCGAGCGCCGGGGTGTCAATGTCCACTCGACTGACAGCTTTCAAGGTCTGCCCGTTGCCAAACCGGAACACAGGTCGATCTGACAAAACAACTTGGTATCGAATCCGGGCAGCTTGGAGGAACTTGTCCATGGACCCGACCCCACAGGCGCTCTCGGTGGCACCCGTGTCCACAAGGACACACGTCGCAATGCTTGCCCTCAAGAAGTCGTGAACACTCCGATGTTGCGAAGGGTGTACAGGTCGTGAACGCCGAAGTCAATCTCCTAGTCGGAATTCTCCGCACGCAGGGGGGTCGTCAAGGTTCGCCACGTTCTCTGCGTGAGGGGTGACCTTCGTGCTTGCCGTTGGCCTTGCCGATCGCGTAGCTGCTCTGGAATTTTCTTGCACATTCAAAGAATCGGTGGCCCGGACTTCCGCACACCGTGCAAGGACCAGACTTGCCCTTCTGAAAGCCACCCGACGACTTGCCCGAGGCTTTCCCTTTGAAGCCCTGGCGCGGCTTTCCGCCCAGAGGGTAACACCCTCGAGCCGAGCGCGCTGCTGCCACTGCTTGTCGAGCTTGCTGCAGCGTCCGGGAAGCTCTACGCTTCTTGTTCCTGCGAAACCAGCTCGGCCGTCTCGGGGTCATCTCCGGCGTTGTCGCCTTGGCCTTCGGACTCTCCAAGTAAGGCCCTGCTGGTAGAAGGCGTCTGAGTCTGGTTCTTGGCATTCCCAATCGTCAGCACCTCCCTGGTAGTCGTACGAGTCGTTCTGGTAGTAGGCTCGTGTAGTAGTCGCCGGCGCTCTCGATCGTAGTCAACGGGCCAAGGCGTCCTCCTCATGGATCGACTCCATCTCATAGGCATTCTGTCGAGGGCGGCGGCTCTGCTCGGAGATCACCTCGTCGTACAGGCTTCGAAGCGCTTGACGGATCAACTGAAACGATGTTGAATTCCCGGTCAGAGTCAGCACTTAAGTTGCCTTTCAGAAGGAGGAAGCCGTGCTGCTTTGAGGAGGCGGTAGCCTCGCGTCTCTTCTTCGAAGAATCCACTGCCATAGTCTCCCGTCTCAGCACTTTGAAGCCGAAGAGCTCGAACCCTGAGAGCCAGGGATAGCCCCAGGATCACTTCGGCGCCCTTTCGATGGAGTGGACGTTGGCTCTTCCTTCTGCTTGGACTCATCAGGTTGCCCTGCAGGAGGTCCAGGAGGAGCGCGCCCAACACCTTTAAAGCCAGGACGAAAGACTCCTTGTTGCCCACGTTCTCGAGCTCGTTGCAAGGAGGCCTGTAGCTCAATGAACAGTTCTTCTTCACGAACAAGCATGTGAGGCACCGTCTCTCCCTGGCGCCTGCTCAAGTTAAACCACTTCTCCAAGCGGCTGAAGGCGTCCGGAATCGGGAGCCCCGAAGTGCGCTCAGCAGCTTCTCTACGCCAGCCTCGGCGGCGTACTCCTCAGGCTTCAAACGTCGAACCACGGTCTTTGCTGGACCTTGGAGCTTGTTCCATATCTGCGGGGCAGCCAAGTGTCTCTCCGTCTGCTTCAAGCCAAACACGTACCATGGCGTGCAACGAACCTTTCAAAGCTCGATGGCTCGCCGTCCCAGCGCTCCCTCTCACCAGGTTTGGTGTTCGAAGTCGCGGCACCCAGCCGTAGACGAGGAACACGGGCCCCAGGCGATGCCGTAGGCGAAGATCGCGCAGTAGAGGATGTTCTCGGGCCCCAGGCGGCGCAGTAGAGGACGATCTCGGGCCCCAGGCGACGCAGTAGAGGGAGGATGATCTCGGGCCCCAGGCGACGCCGTAGAGGATGATCCGAACCCCCAGGTCAGCAGCAGAGCGCGGCACAAGGATCTACGTTCTCGGAGCCACCCGGATCTCACCAGGCGGCCCCGCTACCATCAACGTGGCTCACAAGCCCTACTCACAGAAATGGGTGCACGAACCCTGCACAGCACTCGCACTTGCCTTTTGGCTCTAAGCTCAAGCTACCTCTCCCTTGAGTCGGCGACAGCCATGGATGAAAATCTCACTTGCGAAGTCATGGGCCCTCGGTACTCACAGAATGCAATTACTCTATTCCTTGTTTCTAGCAGGTGTTTCTCTTGATCCAATCAGAGGGTTTAGGGTCGCGATCTGGGAGTTTAGGGCTGAGACTTCCAGCTTTGACTAGAATACTCCCAGAATTTCAGATTTCCACGGTAGAGCATTTCCAGATTTCCAGGAATAGAGTGTTTCCAGATTTCCAGACTGGATTTTTTTCAGATGTGCAGATTGCTCATGGAAAGGGAAATTTGGAAACAACCTATTCTCGAAATCTGGAGATCTGGAAAAACTCTACTCTGGAAATCAAGGGGAAAGACTCTACTCTGGAGAGCAAAGAGCCGTGACCTCAGATGCGGATTCATGCGGGGAGGGTACCCTGTATGAATATATATATATATGTTAGCACCGCGCCTGAAATGTACCCATGTTCTTAGCTCATCACTCCAAATGTCCATACGCAAGTCAGGCTAAAGCATCACCGAGCCAAGCGGCCAAGCGGCTTAAACATTGCCGAACTGTGCCTTGGGGTGGTTGGGCTGGGCTCATTTGAGCTCCACGGGTCTGCAGCGGGGGCCGGATCGGGCCGGTCCGGTGACGGCTGTGCTTGGTTGCATCGGGCGCTGGGGCAGCCACTTCAGCGCCGGCCCGTGTGCCATAGCTCATTTTGAGTTGGTGATTCAGCGATCCTCTGCGACTCGAAGTTGGCCACATTTTGCGTGGAGGGGGTAAAACCACGATTAGAAAGACACCTTGTTTACCACAACACGAAGCCATTTTACCACGATTGGTTTTGCAATTCTAGGCAAGATAAGGGCTGAGGGGGGCAGTTTCATGCGCGAAGCCGTGTTTTTGTCCTAGGGCCAGCCGTATTTTTGCCCCCTTTAAGGCTTAATAGGACGAAAAATACGGCTCCCTTTTGGCCCATTTAAAGCGCAATAAGACCAAAAATACGGCTTTTGCGGGAGCCGTCTTTTTGGCCCATTTAAGGCCTAATGGGAGCAAAAATACGGCTCCCGTGGGAGCCATGTTTTTGGTCCGTTAAAGGCCTAATAGGACCAAAAATACGGGTCCCGCTGGAGCCACTACCTTCCTCACATACGCAATTCCACATAATATAGCCCAAGTATTACATAACTACCTTCTTCACATATATGCAATCCGGACCACAAAACATGGCTCCCGCGGGAGCCGTATTTTTGGCCCATTTAAAGCCCAATAGAACCAAAAATACGGTTCCCGCGGGAGCTCTTTTTGGCCCATTTAAGGCCTAATAGGAGCAAAAATACGGCTCCCGCGGGAGCCGTGTTTTTGGTCCGTTTAAGGCCTAATGGGAGCAAAAATACGGCTCCCGGTGGAGCCACCACCAGCCTAAAACGCATCAAAAACGCGCTAGGGCCTTGCTTGTGGACACCCAAAAAAAAGTCTCTCCGGGGCCTGGTTTCTGGTGCTATTACGGCGCTACTAGGCTTGGGAGCCGCATTTTTGATCCCTATTAGGCCTTCAACGCATCAAAAATGCGGCTCCCACCAATCTCTTCCGCAACAAGCCCCGGCCTTGTTTCTGTTGCTATAAGGCCTGGGAGCCATGTTTTTGGTGTGTTTCAGGCCTAATAGCACCAAATATACGGCTCCCAAGCCCTATTGTGGTCTATTGTGGAAGAGAGGGAACAAATCATTTGTAAAATTAGAACCTGTCACTGAGCAGCATGTTCTGTTCTGTTCATTTTTGAAGTGTGAAAAGTTGGCGTCTGCAAAGCCGAATCGAATCCAAAGCTCGCCTCCACAAGTAGTAGTTGGGGCGTCCGCCACGCGCGTTTCCGTTGTGGTTGTCCCGGGACGACATGCCGGCAACCTCAAGCGAAACAAGCGTTGCTTGCGTTATCTTGCGTTGCTTACGTCTTACGTTGCAGGATGATAATTAAAATTTGGCCAAGTGCTCTGGGTGCCTGGCACAGTCTGGAGCCGGCTCACCGAAGGCTGCAACCTCCTGAGACGTAGGAGCTGAGACGTAGGCAATAGCTCGCAGCTCCTTCCTGCACGCTTCGCACACTCGCCACACTTCGCACTTCGCTTCTTGGGCCACAGCCTTCCACTCTCCGCCTCCATCTATGCCTGCAACTGCACTTCGGCTTCAGGCTTTCCGAACTCTTTGCTCTGGGTCACGCGCAAGCTTCGGGGTGGTTGTGCTCCGGTTCGCTGCAATAGCCTCCAGCACTGCATGTCCAAAAGGCCTTTTCGGCCTTTTGCTTGCACGTTCTGCGATTCGCTTTGGTAGTAGGTGCATCTTCTGGACCTGACTCTGCCAGCTGCGG